ACATCAAGTTCCTGGTGTGGTCTCCTTGCCTAACAACCAGTTCTATCAAGAACTCACTCGTCCCTGGGAGACACACTTCACTCCAAGAAAACAGTGTTAGTGCTCTCCCACACATGGAGTCCCATAACCTCAGACATCTCCTAAGACCCTTTTCTTTGAAAACCCAGCATAGCACGGGAGCGGGGGCGGGTGGGGGGGCAGACGGGGACAGACCATGCTTCTAGAGGACACAAAGCATCCAAACTCAAGCAGGGAGCAGTTTTGGCCGGCCAAATACTCAAGGTAGAACTTCCACGGTGATATAAGGGCCACACATGTGCCTTGAGCAAGGCTACATGAATAACCAAAATGTCAAATGTCTTTGAGTCGCTGGTCCATCCATGGCTGTGAATCTCACACACTGGAACCACATGCCAATTAGGTGGTCAGGCATGAATATTTCTGTTCCATAAAAATAAAGGCTAGGCATTTATGATCACTTCACCAAGCCCTGGAAGAAATCTTTAAAGGCAGAAGATGTTGAGTGGGAGGGATGAGATGTTAAGGGGTCCTCCCAGAAGGTTGCTTCCTTGCTCTTCAAGAGTAGGCATTCCTCCCCCCAGGTAAGCCTGGAATTTGCTAATGAACCTGGAACCAAGGGAGTCCCCACATCACAGATTTTTATCAGGGATACAGATGTACAGGTCTATCAATGAGCCTATAGTATCTCCAGGGGGATGTTGTCTGCAGGGGCTTCTCAGATAAGACAGGAATCCCCACCCTAGTCACCCTGACACCAAGGATTGGAGAGATTAGAGTTCAAGGCTTCTGGGAAACAGCTGCCTTCTGAATTCGTAATGAGCCAATGCCTCAGACACAGAAGGCAGCCACAAATCCTGTGCTCCCAACCCAGGCCAATCCTATGAAAGGCATTCGCTCTAACCAGGGGATATACACAGGTACACAAGTATATATGCATATGCATGCATACATATATGTGTTCTTGCACTTACGTGCAAGTATGCATATAAAATGGGATTTGAGCTACATATAGACTTACATTAAAAAGAGATATTAATAAACAGGAACTTGCCCACTAACCAGGAGCACAGGGCTGTCAGGGTGTGTGCTTGTTACTACAAATATTGCTCCTGGTAACTTGGGATGGTGAGCCTTGCCCCAGAGCAGAGAAGTAGACTGGCAGGGTCACTGGGGTGGGAGGGGCATCAAGACTTTCTCCCACCTTCTCCAGTTCTGTGACCATGTACAGATGTGGGCAAAAGGAGATATGGTCGCCAAGGCATGGGTGCCTCAATGGACTAAGGCATTGGGGAAGCAATTGGGGTTGTGGCAGCTGCCCCAATGCTGAGTCACTGTCATATGGTGCCTTTGTGACCAGGCAGTCCTGCTTTATAACCTTGTCTGCCCACACACTAGCTCTGTACCCAGGTCTCAGTGTACCCCATCTGTGCAGTGACAACAGTTATCTGGTCACAGGAAGTGGTCCAGAGATACCGTCATGGTAGTGACTAATATTCAAGTAAGCATAGAGGAAGTCGAGTCATTGCACGGGCATCTGAGAAACCCCTAGACTAGAAACCCTAGCTTCCAGTTCAGACCAGAACTTCTGTCATCTTGCCAGTGATGTCAGAGGCACAGGGTCAGGGGTTTCTCTGTAGCATGAGAATTTTTTTTATTTCACATTTTTATTTGCAAAAAAAAATCTAAATATGTAAGTGAGATTTTCGTCCCCAGATGTCACCTTAGGACTAGAGCTTCGCATATGGGTTTACCCAACACCGGTTTTTTTTTCCTCCACAAAAGAAAGCCCAAATGATTTCACAGGCTGCTGTACAAACAGTGGCTTAGTTATTGTTCAGAGATAAGTGGGTAAGGACTGAGTCATCAAACACTCTTGGGCCACAGGCAGTCCTCCTGCAGGACAACTCTGGCTTGAAGCTTCTAGAAGTCTCCGTGTTGCCAGTAAGTGCCTTAGTGCACATCGCCTTGGGGTGACTACTTGTAAGACATGACTGACTAGCGTACAGCCGAAGAACTTCTTACTAAGCAGTGCCTGCTTTTGTAGCTGTGTTTCCTGCTCCTTTTTTTTTTTTAAATTTAACAGTCTCATACGTCTCAAGCCCCAGGCACATTGAGGAAGAAGGGGTGGAAAGAATGTAAGAGATGGGGAGGAGTGGTGTGACAGTTTACCATCTGGTACGACATGGCTGTTAAAGCCCTGAACACAACAAGTCATCCATCCTGGATAGAGGAGGTGCCCACAAAGCCCCGTCCCTTACTTAATAGCTACTGACTATTAATGGTTACCATGGAAAGGGGGTAACCATTCAATATCATAGCCTCTGGAGGACTAGTTAGAAAGAAGGGGGTCATAGGGATAAGAAAGGAGTAATGGGGTAGATCAATTACAGTACATCATATATACATCATATATATGCATGACACTAAATGGCTATGTTTGGGGATATTTTACAAAGTGGGCAGAACCATTAGCACTTTGAGTCTGTGGTTAAAAGCTTATCTGTTATAATACAGGAAAAAATAAAATAATATTGATAATAACACTAATGAGGGCACAGCATGCTCCATTGCCAAGACAATCCAGCTGATAGCAAGCAGATCTTCAACTGGGACACCCTTCTGTTATTGCGCCCGACACTGGTTATTTCACTTCAGCAAAACATCATCTGTCACATTAAATTAATGGCATTAATTTGAATTTTAATGGTTTTTGTAGTTTTGTTTGCATTTACTTTGTAATTGTGTTTTGGTTTTATAGCTGCATAAGAACTAAAAGCACAAGGAATTCATACTAACTCTTATGTTTGTATATATTTAAATAACAACGTGATCAAAATAATTTTAGTTGACACTGGGGTTCTACGATAATTTTGTTCCTTTTAAAATGCATATATTTGGGGCAGCAAGATGGCTCAGCAGGTAAAAAATGATTGCTACGCAGTCTTCATGGTCTAAGTTCGATCTCTGAAACCCACTTAAAGAAATCCTGGTGTGGTGTCTACATCTGTAATCCCAGCACTCCTACTGTGAAATGAGAGTTGGAGATAGGAGAAGCTTGTGAGTCAGCTGACCTAGAATACCAGCTTCAGAAACAACAAGGGAGAGTTTGCCTCGACAAGAAGGGAGGAGAGGCTCCCAAACATTGCTCTCTAACTGCCATACACTTGACATGGCACATGGGTAGCCTGGCACGGAGGTACCGGCACTCGAACACACACATACATGCACAATAATACATCAGTAAATATTTAAATCCATCTATTAGTGAACTTTAAGAATCGCTGAAACGGCTCTGTAATCCACCACTAAATGCACACATCACCTAATTTTAAAAGTCCTGGGGTGAACTGGAACATTGGAATTGTGGCAGGGGGTGGGTGTAATGGCAAAAGTCCTCCAAGAATTTAGATCTAGGCTTTTCAAAAGACTAAACTAGTGAGTTCTTCTCAGGTGGCTCCAGGTCTTAAACTACCCATATTCTCTTTGTTTTTTTTCTGCTGATCCTTGGCTTCACAACCTAGGCAGGTGTGAGTAGCTCCTGTATCTCCTGATAAATGTTCATAGCCTGAGTCGCATGTGACAGACAGGTCTGGGGTGTCCTCTGCATCTGTCAGAGTGACAGCTCCACACCTCCTAAGCCCTTAAAGGCTTGTGATTAACCCCTGACCCAGAGGCTTAGGGCTGGGCATCCCTGGGACTTACTGTGTCAGGCACCACCTTACTGGTGTAGGTATGTCCTTCATCACCATACATCCCTGGGTAAAAGCAGAGGCCAGGAAAGGCCGGGTGGCTTAGCTGGGACGGGTAACTGAATGATAGTGTGGCAAAGCCCCTGGCTTGGGTCCAAATGCCCACGGAGGATCCATCCCATCCTCTTGTCCCCAGTGGCTGCAGTGATGAGAGACAGAAGGAGACCCTGTGTTCAGGGTGCCACTGATCCCAAACACATGGGACTTTGTCTCTCCAATCGAAAGCACCAAGCTAGGGATGGTGAGTGACAGAGCTCTCGTATCTCAAGAGGAAGCACCCAGAATCCTTCCTTCCAGGTGGATTTTGAAGTGCTGCCACATCCTCATCACCACATACACTCACAAGAACTGATTCCTTCATGCTTGCATGCCCTTCTAGAAACTGGGGTACCCACGGAGATGGGGAGACCACCCCCTCACTGCCCAGCTGGAGGTACACTGCATTGCAGGAGCCCCAGTCACCCCCAGGGTGGCAGAAAGAACTCCAGAAGGGTTCATCTCACATCCAGGACCAGGACTGGGGGATGCCCCCCGAGAATGGAGCTCAAGATAGGTGATGGGATGGAGTCAGGCAAGCAGTCAACTGGCCCATATAGTAGTAGAGGGAGGGAGGATGTAGGCTTCCCCAGAGCTATGAACCACGACCAAAAGTCAACTCATGGAGCCCTGGGCTGTGGTGGGACATGAGAAGATCCAAAGAACACAGTACCCCTCAAAAACATGTAGGCTTAGGCAACTACCTTAACAGTGATCTCAAAAGTCATGGGAGAGCCAGGCGGCCGTAGTGCACGCCTTTAATCCCAGCACTCGGGAGGCAGAGGCAGGCGGATCTCTGTGAGTTTGGAGACCAGCCTGGTCTACAAGAGCGAGTTCCAGGACAGCCTCCAAAGCCACAGAGAAACCCTGTCTCAAAAGGCCAAAAACACAACAAAATACAACAAACAAAAAGTCATGGGAGAGCTGGACATCCCAGTCATCCACCTTTCCTCCCACAGCATCCTCTTTTGTCTGCCCTAGGAAACTGTTCCTGGGGCTGCTGTAATGAAATTCCACAACTGAGTGGCCTCAAACAGCCCCGCCACTCTAGAGACTGCAGGTCTTAGCCAGGCTGCTATTGAGGCTATGCTCACCATGGTTCTAGGGAGAATCCTTCCTGGCTGCTGGTGCCTGATATTCCTAGGGACTCTTTAGTTGGGAGCTGCAGTGTTCCGTTCACACTGCGTCTCCTACCTTGGGTCTTCATGTTGCCTTCCCGCCACGCTGCCTCTGGGTCCACACTTCCTCCTCTTCCTACAAGGAGCCAGAATCAGTGCCCCCTTTAGAGTTAGCATTTTAACTTGCTTAAAACTCTGTGAAAACTCTACTTCTAGGACATATGTAAAAGCCTGTCAGCACACCTGGGGGTATCAACACATTTATTTAAGGGGGACGCAATTAAATTTATAACTAGATGGGAAGGAAGAGAAACATTCCACTATCGTCCACCTCCAGGCCACCGGTGTGGTCAGGAAAGAAACTCTGGATGTCAATATGAACACTGGACCATCAGCATATCTGAGAGGGGAATTTTTTTTCTACCCTTGAAAATGACTGAAAGATTTCAGAATGCCCCCTCAATGTCCTTGAGGGGTGAAAGAGAAGGCTCCCCAGTCAAGCATGTGTGTAAGCATTAAAAAGAAACAGAGAAAGCTATTTCCTAGTCTAACTTCCAATATGCCATTGTTTATGCAAGACGCAAGTGTGGACCAGGCCTGAGGCGGAAAGTATAATGTTGACTTAATGAAACCAAGCAGGGGGAAATGTGGTTAGGAAGGAATGACCTAGTACAAGCCCTGTGAGAAGAGAAGGGATCCAGTGGACCCACCCCCAGGATGGGGGATTCTGCACAGCAGACAGACAGCAAGGTGAGGGCAGAGCATGTGTGAAAAGGGGCTCAGAGACCTGATCCAGAGCTTTGCTGGGGACAGCCTGGACTCTATGCCCCAAGGAGGGCTGCAGTTCTCTAAAGGACTATTCTGTCCCCCCACACCGGGCAGCGGGTGTGGATTTTATGTGTATCTGCAAAAGGCTAAAACTGTCTTCAACAAGAACCACAGTGATCAGATGCTGTCTCAGACAGGGATGGGAGCATTTCCTTGGTTGGAAGAACTTGGGAAGACCATGCCAAAAATGGCTTATAAATAGACCACCTCCTCCCTGCTTCCCTTTGCCCAGGCTCCTGGCCTCAAATCTCTCTCTCTCCTACTTGGCACAATTCCAGGTGGGTTTTAATTAGCAGTCTTGCCTTCTCCACTGCTTACATCCAGGTTTCCCCAGGCCAGGAACACATACTTCTCTCTCCTGCTCTCCTGGCTTTGGAGCCAGGCGGAAGCTTTTTGGAATCTTTGGACATTGGTAGAAACAGAACGGCAGTTTTCGCCTGCAGGAAGAATGCTACCTATTCCACTGCAGAGCGTAGGTCTTCAGTCTTAGGTTTGGCAAAGAGGCTTTTTATCCACCAGGCATCAGCCTTCAGCAGAGCTCAGTGAGCTCCCCAAAGTGAGAGGTCTATAAACAGCAGCCCTTGTGCAGAAACTGTGTGTCTGCCATCACCATCTCTAAACCATACAAACATGCCTAGCCTCTGTCTAGACTCCCAGTGTGTGACTTCTCCCACTTAATTTTGTGAAACAGACTCAGCCAAATTGGACATATGCCATTCTCACCCCTTACCAATAAATGCCCACTGTGTCAGTTAGCACTCTGCTATTATAACAAATCCTTGAGACAAGACAAAAAAAAAAATAGAACAAAGGTTTCTTTTAGCTCACGGCTTTAGAGGTCTTAATTTGGGCCTGTGGATGCTCATTGTAATGGGAACATGTAAAGGAACAAAACCACTTAAGTCATGGCTAGGAATAAAAGGAAAAGAAAGAGGATGGGAGTATCTTGCTCTCCCCAACTTCCAAGAACAACCTACTAGGTCCCACCCTATGAAGGTGCCACCACCTCCCAATAGTGCTATCCTGGGACCAAATCTTTGATGCACAGGCCTTTGAGGAACATTCCAGATCAAAACTGTAGCACCCACCTCCATTATTGAGCCATCTTCCACCCAGGATCCCCCCCCCTTTCTTTTTTCTTTGTTTTTGTTATTGTTTGGTTGGTTGGTTTTGGTTTTCTGAGATAGGGTTTCTCCATGAAGCTCTGGCTGTTCTAGAACTAGTGCTGTAGACCAGGCTGGCCTTGAACTCAGAGCTTCTCCTCCTGCCTCTGCCTCCCTTTTAGGGCTTCACCACTTAAGCCCCATTCTCTTTAGAGTCCAGACACAGACATCTTTACCAGAGGCTTCCTCTCTGCCCAGCTCCCTTCTCCAGCCTTGTGTCATCATTGGTTATTTTTACTTAGGATGCCTTTTCTAACCAAAATCAGACCTCATTTTCCAAGGGGATGCTGCTGACAAAAAAAGTGATGCTTGTTGTGCTGCTGAGGGAGGGAAGGGGCATCTTGGGGTAAATTAAGTTAGAGATCCTTGCACACCACAATCCTCAGGACAACAGCAAGGCATAGCAGCATATTTAATGCTCTCGAGACGCTTGCTTGGTCTCATCTGACTCAGTGGGTCTCAAGTTCTATGAACATAGACTTGCTTATCCCCAAAACATCTATTAAGGACCCCCACCCATGGTGTGTGAAGCCCCATGGACTTCAAAATAGTGTTTAGGATCCAGAAGTTCCTCCTCCAGTGGGTCCTTGGGTGGCCATGGGAGTGGAGAACCATGCTTTGTGTCTGGCTGGTCATTTCCCAACATTGAGTTCTCTGTGTCCTAAGGGATTTGTAATTCTTGGGCAACCAGGGTAATCCTCCCCCCTTCCATGCCGTGAACAGATTTGGGAGGTGTTGGATGATGTGCTGAGGTCAAAGGAAGCCATGGCAGGCTCTCTGTCTTTCAGGCATTCTCTCTCCCAGCACCCACGGTACCTTTGTGATCTCCTGACTTCTGCCTCTCCAGAAGGTGGCTGTGGCTGGTTTTTAACGGTGACTCACATGGGCCTGGCGATTAGACGTGATGTAGAAAACCATGGGGTGTGGGAGACTTGATGGATTGTTTCATGCTTTTCTACTATCACAAGTCATCAAGCTGCTCTGTACCTCAGTTTCCTCATTTGCAAAAAAAAACCCATTGCCATGCTGGGTAGAATGAGATCCACCCGATACTTCAGTGGTTGTACGGGAGGCAACCACCAAACCTGGCACAAGGGAAAATCAACATAGGGTTTCCGAAGGTTCCAGGTAACTGCTTCCCCTTTGATGCCCACAGGGTGACATTGGGTCTTGGATATTCCCACTGAAGTCTAGTCTCTTAGGTACTGAATGGAGTTCAGCATCACACTTTCTGAAATCCTACGTCACTAGCTGTTTTAAGTACCTGCCGCCTTGATTTCCACGGCGGACTATGATCTGGAACTGCGGAATAAATTCGTTCTTCCCCAAGGTTGCCTTTGTTCAGGGTATTTGTCACAACCACAGAAATAAAACTAGAATAAAGGTCACCCTGAGTTTTCATATGTCTGGTGATCACCATCATTTTCCGTAAGACAAGTCACAGTGTCATGGAGCAGGAGAGGTGATGCTGAATGGAGGGAGCAAGTGCCAGTGACCATTCAGGAACAGGATTGGGTCATGCACTGTCATCGTATTGCAGGGTACCAGACCAGAAGAGCCCTCAGATGGAAGAGACATAATCCAGGTCAGCCACAGGCCCAGGCTAAAGCCCTGACTGCACCCCCCCCCCAGCTCCTCCATGAGTCTTGCCTGGGTACATACACAGTCGATGGAGGAGGAAATGGGAATTCCTGATTTCTAATGCCTAATGATGATATCACCCACTCCCTTGGATTGAATCCCAAAGGGGTGGCTCCGGAAAGCCAGGAAGTGGCAAAGCAGCCAGATAATCCCTGCTATCCCTCCAGAGAACAGCACCAAGCTAATGGGTTCATGGCTGCCTCCAAAGAGAGGCAGTCAGGAGCTGCCACAGCCTGATGGCCAGATGCAGTCTTGTCATATGAGGAGCTCATGGCAGAGTGCCAACTCATCTGATGGCCAGATCATGGGAGGGGACTCACTAACGCTCCAGAGGGCTGTCCCTGGGCCAGGCTTGAAAGGGCCACTGGGAGAAAGAATGGGTTCTGTCCCCGAACCTGTAGCTGCTCATACATCATGCAAGAGCTCTTGTTCTGTAGGTGGCTGCATTCAGTCATTTCCCTTCTAGAACCTTCTCTTTGTCTTCTCATTCTGTCTTGCACAAGTGCTAGCTTCATGACTGTCTCAATGTCCCTGCAGCCATGGCCTCACTCAGGGTTGGGTGTGTCTTGCTAGCAGGTCACATGCCTTCCCAACCTTCCTCCTTTATCCCTTCTCTCTTAGATACACCTGCATCTGCCTAGTGGCTAGGCAAGTGGTCTCTATCTTATGGAAGGCCTGGCAACTGTGCTGGCTAGTCCCTCAGGGTACTGAATGGAGTTCAGTGTCACATTTTGTGAGATCCTACGAAGCACCACTAGATGATGGCTGCTCTGGAGATGACTCAGCTTTGGCCTCCTGAGACACATTCACAGCTCTAGGGCTGTTGTATGCAGGCTCACTCTCCTTGAACACCTTATCCAGCCTTTGGTTTTGGCTTCCACAGCTGAGGCCGTCTCTCTCCGGCTCTCACTCTGCCCAGCACCCCACACATGTACTGCCCTGAGAGCTCCAGCTGAAACCCATAGACCACGAGCAGCTGGGATACAGGCCCAGCTGCATCTGAGGACAAAGTCTCACCAAGGCTTACCTCTGTTTTCTTCAGCTGGTCCTCTAACGGAAATGGATTCTATTGTTGTTGTTGTTTTTTTATCTTAACTTCTCATCTGATCTCACAGACTTAGTTTCTGATCCATTATCTTACTTGAAGTATTGGGCCCAACTTAGGACAATTTGATAGACAGCTTCTCAGCGTTCCTTCAAGGCAGAAGCCATGTGCATTCAGTCGAAGCCACAATTCTGTTTTGCCATCCTGGGCAACTGCATGAAGCCATGGCCCTGAATCTCGACATCATCGGCACTGTGCCGAGATGTTTGATACATTAAGTGTGTTCGCTGCATGTTCAACCCGTTGTTTCAATTTGCCTTGGTTTTATTGGGATGCCACTCGATGGTAAATCAGGAATCATCTGCGAAAGTGAACTCAACTGCACACAACACACAGCTTCCTACTGAGAGAAGAATGCCTGAGTCCAGCCCTCAGGCAGCTGCCCATGTCCTGCATTCC